TTTAAACCGAGATGATTGAAATCGACGACGAAGCTTTTCTGATCTAGAAAGCGGATATACTTAAAGCACAATTTGGTATGGTTTCGCTTTAATATAAGCTCGTCGAACTTCATCACGTTTGTCAACAGGATAATCCCATATTTGACGACGTAATCCTGGATCACATTCTAAAAAGGTAAGATCAACTTTTGTATGATTGAAATCGACGACGAAGCTTTTCTGATCTAGAAAGCGGATATACTTAAAGCACAATTTGGTATGGTTTCGCTTTAATATAAGCTCGTCGAACTTCATCACGTTTGTCAACAGGATAATCCCATATTTGACGACGTAATCCTGGATCACATTCTAAAAAGGTAAGATCAACTTTTGTATGTTCAACTCTTAGAGATTTTGGAAGATGCTGGTTATCATGAACCGAAACATCAACATTAGAGGCGGAAGCCAGGGAAGGCACATCATTTTTTTGAAAAAAAAACGTTAATAGTTCTTTTTGGCTTCACCATCGTATAACATTGTACCTAAAGAGGGTAATTCAAATATAAATTTTTAATACCTAGGATTATACATTGTAATTTAAACCATCGATCCTAAATTCATAATAAGCATAATTGAGTAAAAATAATATTATAATTAGATGATTCTTATATTATCTTATATGAAGATATTCTTCAAATTTTTTTTTTTTTAATTATGCTAAACTCCTAAAGGTCAAAGTAACAAAATATAAGATTAATTTTCAATGTAATCAAGTAGATGCAGGCTTGTAGCACAGTCAATCAAAGAAAAGAGAGAAACCAAATTTACCGAAATGAACATTTGTTCCATGTGGACCATCATTTCCCCTACTAATCTGCTTTAAGTCTTTAATGGCAGAAAAAAAAAAATAATAATAATTATAATAAGATGATTCTTATATTATCTTATATGAAGATATTCTTTAATTTTATTTATTTATTATGCTAAACTCCTAAAGGTCAAAGTAACAAAATGTTGGGGGCCAGTATACTAGACTCTCACTGTTCTCAGCTCAAAAAAGAGGGCAAACTGATGGGTGCCCTAATGTTGGGGGGCCAGTATACTATTTTATTTTTTATTTTGTATATACTAATAAATTTTATTTATTTATTTTTTTTTGGGGGGGGGGGGGGGGGGGGGCCTGCCCACCCCAAGCTCCGCTCCTGGTGGTATTCATGAAGAAACAAGTTCTAGTAAAAAAAAAAATTTTAGTTTCCAAATTGAAGTACATGTTTCATTTATCACCCAATTAGCAAAGTTGGAAGTGGAAGAAATTTTTAACCCACCATGAATGCATGCGAGCAAAACTGATTTTCATCTTTCTTATATTTTATGAAGATGGAGGATTGGGTTAAGGGAAAGAAGAGGAAAAATGACATATTTTGTCAATATATATATATATATACACACACACACTAGATAGAATCACGTGCGATGCACGTGATTGAACTTAGCAATATTTTGAAATAGTAAAATAGTTTAGATGATATGTAAAAATAATTTGGAAATTAAATAGAGAAATAAAATCTAAAATAAAGTTAAAGTAACTTGCAGATAAAAGTGCTAAATTAATTTGGTTTATGTATTTATAAATTTAGAGCAAAATAAATTCAAAAATTTAAGTTATCATTCATCATCCAAATAACTATTTGACCATTAATCTCAAAGATAAATAAGACTTTTCATCATCTTCAAAGTCTCTTTATCTAAAACCTTATGCAAACCCTAATATTCTTGTGGTATTTATAGCCGAACAAATAAAAGAATATAATTTTATTTTACAAAGAAATGAAAAAGACTATTGAATCAATTGTACAAGAGATTTATTATATCAAATCATATAATGTATTATAGTATAACAGTACGTTTATAAATACTACATATAACACATTACATTTTTTTATAGATAGATTTAAAAACATGCAATAAAAATTAAATAATTATATGTGCATGTCTTATATCAATTATTATATATATTTTTTTGGTTATGTATGACTGAATTGAATATAATATACATGATATCATATTATATAGAGACTTTAAAGTTGTTCACACATAATTATAATTATGATATAGAGTAAGTATTATGATATATTCATAAATAAAATCTATAATTATGAAAGTCTAATTTTTCTACAAGTGTTTGCTATTAAAAGTGTGTCTCTCTACGCACCGTAAGCGTTTCTAAATTCAGAAAAGGATTATAACACTTCCCTATTTTACTCTATATAACACTTTTAAGTGTGTCTCTCTAATTTCTAAATTCAAAAAAGGAGTATAACATTTACGTATTTCACTCTGACCTTCATGACACTTTCATTTTTACCCAATAAATTATTCCAACACTCTAAATAAATTGAAATTCATATTTTTTCATATGAATATATTTCACTACATGGAATTAATACATACCAGAAATTCAGAGATAACTAAAATTCATCAGGAGAGATTTATTTATAAATGAAATTTATAACTTTCCACCATCATCTAGTTTCTTTAAAAGATGTTTAATAATATCAATTTCAGTAAAATTGAATAATTTTTTCTACAAGAATGTTATGAGCTTTTTATTCCAATGCGGTTGAATAAGCACAACTTTTAATTTTTGATTTAGACATATATTTATTAATTTATTATTTAATATTAATAATTTATTATTTAAAGAGATTGACTTTTAGTCAAGGATTGTAAAGCTTCTCTACTTAAGAAAGAATTTAGAAAATAACTTTTACCCTGCTTGATGTATGATAGAATTTTAAATTTAATCAATCACGTTTTTCCTTAACGCTAAAGAAAAAAAGTGAAAAAGAAAAAGATTTCACAATTAAGAAGGGTTTTAGTTTATGATACTTTTCTTAAAAAAATTGTGACTTTCAGTAATATAAATGATTAAAGAAGTGAAATTAACGTGATTTTTTATTTGAAGAATAGGATGTATTAAGATGAAATAAATCTTCTTTTTTTTCAATTGAAGATCATATCCATGCTTTTTTTTTTTTTTTTTAAATCAATATAAGTAAATAGAAATTGGTTTATGATGATATATATATATGTATGTATATATATATATATATATATATATATATATATATATGTATGTATATATATGTAATACACATATTACAGATAAAGTATATATTAAACTTGTTGAACTAAATATCGTTTTATTCTAAATGTTACTCTAGAAAATTTCTTAATTTATTTTATTGTAAAAATAATAATAATAAATATAAAATAATTTAATTAGAGAGGTGATATATTTTAATTGGACAATAACTCTTCATAAAAGAAAAGGTGTTTGAATTTGAGAGAAACACTTTATATAAGAAAACTACCAAAGTATATAAAACACGCCGGATTTTTTATTTTTTCCTTTCTTCGCAAACAGATGCGTAGTTAAGAATGTAAATCTATCTATTTAAAGGTGTAAAAGTGCATTGGCAAGAATATCAAAAAGTGTTGAATATATTTTTTAATTATATTAATTATTTTAAAATGTATATAAATATTATAAATCAAATAACACTTTTATAGGGTATAAAAATTAAAATTGAATACACTTTAACATATAAAATATAAAAACTCCTCGTGTACTAATTATGTATTGTATATATAATGATTCATTCGTGAAATAATTCTATGGTAACTAACTGACATTTCAATCCATGATTATACGGTTATCTATATATATTTGTATATGTATATTGCATATAAAACACAATATTTCATATATTTTATCCATGTAATTTTTCTGAACAGAACAAATTTAATATTCATGTATATTTCTTTCACATCGTAATAAAAGAATTCCAGAACTGAACTATTAGGAGAACATATAAAATATAATAACTCTTCATGTACTAATTATGTATGAAACAATATAAATATATATATGATTCGATAGAAAGATAAAATATATAAATTATTCTTCAATTCAAATTAAAACATACCTTTTAAAAAAAAAAAAAAATTTGAAAGGGTTTTGAGTTGTAATTTGATGTATATGAACCAAAAGATGAGTTTCCTTTCAAAGCCGTTGAAATTGTTTGTGGAAGAAGAAACCTCTAACAAACTTTTTGTGAAGAAATTATTTTCAAAGAGAGATGGAAAGAAACAGAGAGGAGTGAGATATAGGATTATAAATAGGTGTTTGCAGTTAAAAGGTGACTTTTAAAAGATGTGTTAGTAATTATTTGAAAAGTCACATTTATTTATTAAAATAAATTAAATGATTTAATTATATATAAATAATAAAAGGTGACTTTTAGAAGGGGTGTTGGTAGTTATTTGAAAAATATATATTATTATTACAAAAAAGTGTATATAAAAAATACAAAGTGCAGTCAAAAGATGACTTTTAGAAGGAGTGCTAGAAATTGTTTGAAAAGTCACATTTATTTATTAAAATAAATTTAATGATTTAATTGTATATAAATAATAAAAAGGTGACTTTTAGAAGAGGTGTTAGTAGTTATTTGAAATATATATTATTATTATTATAAAAAAATGTATATAAAAAATATAAAGTGTAGTTAAAAGGTAACATTTAGAAGAGGTACTATTAGTTATTTGAAAAATTACATTTATTTATTAAAATAAATTTAATGATTTAATTGTATATAAATAATAAAAGTTGACTTTTAAAAGAGGTGTTAGTAGTTATTTGAAAAACATGTATTATTATTATAAAAAATATATATATATATATAAAATACAAATAGAATACACTTTTATAGGGGGTAAATAATAGATATATATACACACACTATTATTTATTATCTGTTTATTGCTATGAGGGCTAATTTTGTCTTTTTAAAATTTTTGCCCCACACGTGACAAACAAGGATTTCTGTTAAATTTTTAATGGTAAGTTGACATTTGCAATAAATGAAATATTTTAGGGAGTTAAGTGTATTTCACATAATTCCGGAATTTATTGAGAAACAGAAGATAATTTAGGGGGTTCAGTGCACTTTACCCACATGAGAATTGATCAAGGCTTGTCCAAAGTTCATTTTTAAGGGTGAAAAAAAACAAGTACACAGAACTTGAGCACCACCAAGCCAAGCACCTCCCCAAAGGGAAGCTTGAGGGTTGAAGCTCCAATTGGGGCAAAAAGTGTGTGTGTGTATATATATATATATAGGGTTGACTTCCATATTCAACTATTCCAGAATCTCTTTCCTCTTCTTCTCTTCCTCTCCAAAAAACCCCCACTGCAGTGGCCGATTACTTGATTGATAGGCACAAATTTTCTCCTGAAACTGCTTCGAAAGTCTCTTCCGTCGTAAAGTATCTGAAAATCCTGAAAGACCCATTCGATTCTTTCATTTCTCGAGGAAATTGGTATTTTAGATACCCAACTGGAGTGTGTCATCAAACGCGTGCCTCAACTTCTCTCTGCAAATCTTGAGCGCTTCATCAAACCCAAAATAAAGTTTATTCGAGACTTCTAGTGATGTTGTGGAAATTGTTTCTTCTCAACCATGGATTCTAACTGCTAGCGTTGATAAACGGCTTGCACCGTCAATTTTAGCATTGAATGGGTCCATTTTGACGCATGATTTGGCAAAAACTATAATCTCACCATCGCCATCATGTAAGTTGGTACTGCAATCTGTAAATAATGTTTTCTTTATCCCCATTCATCTTAATAGTTGATTACTTTTTTAACCTCTGATATAAGTTATTACTCGATGCTTATTTGAGTTGCAAGTGTTTACTTTTGGTTAGGAATTGAAGCACAGATGTTGTGGAAATTATTTTGGAAAATTATGAATCAAGTTTTCATCAAAATGCATATGATTGTTTTTACTCATAATTTATCAATCTCCATTTTTAACTTTTTTCTTCCAATGGCACGGTATAAATGTGCTTTTTTACTTGGCTTGCTATCTGCTGATAAGCTTTCCGATTGGGGAGAATTTTTTCTTTTTTCTTTTTGGGTATAAGTGATGAGAGGGAACAAAGTTTGCTCAGTTAGATATGAATGGCTTGCTTTTCTTACTTTCTTAGTTATATGAGATGGCAGATGCATTGGTGAAATATATCATAACTAAAGGGATTGGGTTAGTCATTATTATTACGAACTCAATTATAAATGTCGAACTAGATATATGGTAGAAATTACACAGAGTTGTTGTATGTTAATAGCATGACTTACCGTGTCAAGGAACCCCAATGTGCTGGTTGATAAATTTGAAAATTAAGTATTTTAATATTTTAAGAAATCACATTATTATGAATACAATCTGGTGGTGTTTTTGTTTTCTAAAACATTGTATTAATTTTTTGTTAACTTATAATATGTTTTGAAATTGCATTGGTATATAAAAATATTTTATTTTTTAAAATGCAAAACTAAGCCCATGTCACCGAAGTGTCTTAAATGTGCCCCCGCAATGTCTTTGTTGTGTGTCCTACTAGGGAAAAAAAGAAATTCAATTGAGCCATGTTGGATGTGTCCGGCTGTGTGCCCCATGCATACTCATGCCCTAGAGGAGTGTCCATGCTTCCTAGTTACTAATCCACTGAGTTGATATGCCGAAAAAATTTCTTATTTTGTTGTTCACTAGTTTGTGTTGCATATTTAATTTTTATATTTTTCAATATATCTGATATTCATCTATGTCATGTGTGCCTTAATTTGCTCATGCCCACGCCTTGGTGTTATGCCATGTGGCTATTGGAGATTTTGGCATCTTAGTGCTCCTTGAGCTTTCAATAAATTTGTTGTTGGCATAGGATCAGTTTTAGTATTTCATGAAATAATGCTGATGCGAGTATGCAAGTTTTACCATTTCTTCTATGATTTTCGTTATTACCATTAATACAGAGTATTTTTTTCAAATACAGTATATGTACTGCCTTTTTTTATTTTTATTTTTATTTTTATTTTTATACTTGCTATTTTTGTTGTCGTCTTCATGATTCATCCACCAGAATAGTGGGTATGCTAACTGGGTAAATAATTTTCGACACAGGTTTCCCAAATTCCTAATTATTCTATGGACCAATACAATGGTTTGAGATCCTAATAGTAGAGTGTGCTTCAGTTTATTTATTTAATCAGTTATTGACACCCCTTACATAATATGTATTTCTCTATATGGTGCGGTAATGATTTTGTTTTGCATGCAGAATGTGTATGTGCAGGTGACAAACAAAAATGGGTCAACAAGAGCTCCCCCAGTTACAGTTCAGGCTTCGGTTATGTCAGACATGGGAAGGCTTCTGCCACAAAGATTGAAGCAATTGGCTGAAACAATCACAGGGTCTCCTGCAAAAATTTTTGGCCTCAGTAACTCTGTTTTTGGTAAAGTTAAGGAAATCAGGTTATCTTCCTATCTCAATCGTACACTTGATGCAACCCCAACTCCTTCTCCAGCTTATGCTCCATCTCCCGAGGAAAATGACCATGCAGAACCCTCTATTTCCCCATATCTCTCTCGTTCTCCATCTTATTCTCCAGTTTCCTCACCTAATTTTCATCACTCGCCACCTTGTTTAAACTGTGATGCTTCTTCGCCATCTGATGATAACTTTCCATATGCACCAAGACCGGAAAATGGGCCCCACCCTTCTTTACCTCCGATTTCAAGTTCTCCTGCACCATCAATTGTAAATTTACATTCCCCTTGCTCTAGTCCACATTGTGGTTCCACAGTTCCACGAAGCCCCTCACCGGCATCTCATTCTAACCCGACTGCTCCTACATTTTCACGTCATGCTTCTGCTGCATATCCACCTTCCACGGGTCCCCCATCACAGCTGTCCCCAGATCTTTCTCCTTTACCTGCTGTATCCTATGGTTCCAGTCCAGGCCAGGACAAGGGGAATGGGAAAGAGTTATTATCTCCACCACCAGCCTCGCTGTCAATCTCACCGTTGCCATCATGCAAGTCGGTACTGCAATCTTTAAATAATGTTTTCTTTATCCCCATTCATCTTAATAGTTGATTACTTTTTTTAACCTCTGATATAAGTTATTACTTGATGCTTATTTGAGTTGCAAGTGTTTAGTTTTGGTTAGGAATTGAAGCCTAGATATTGTGGAAATTATTTTGGAAAATTATGAATCAAGTTTTCATCAAAATGCATATGATTGTTTTTACTCACAATTTATCCATCTCCATTTTTAAATTTTTCTGTAGTTTGTTTTTGTATATGTTTATATGATGTGCGTGCACAGAGTTGTGTGCTCTGTATTGATTTTCTTTTATCTAGTGAAAGAATAGGTAGACTAGGAAGGAAATAGAATATTTAGATTTAAAGAACATTTAAATTGAATAGTGTCCCATGAGGAGGCACTAGGAACATATGGAGTCATTTGATTAAAACTGTAAATGACAATGAGTTATAGACTCCAGTTTTTGAGGATAGGCTGAGAACCAGATTTGAAAATTGGCTTCTCCCAGTGGTGTCTATTATGGTTTTGTTTCATAAGCTGTAAGATTTAAAAAGATATTTTTCAAGAAGCTTTATATTTCGGCGAGATTTGCCTGATTTAATGACCAAGTGGTTCCATCATATGCACAAACAGCTACAGTGAGAAGTAAACCAAGGGGGGTCAAATTTCAACTGCCTAGCTGTAATCACTGTGAAAATATTTAATTTTGTACCGGTGCCATAGGAGCTTGTCACTAAAGAAGCTGTTGTAGGATGCTAGATTTTCGTTTTTGGTTGGAAGGATGTTTCAAATATTTTAAATCTCATTAGTTTTGGAAAATGGCAATTTCACATGTACATATTAGTGTGGAGAGATTATGTATGGAACTTATAATGGATATTGAAATTACTTGGGAAATAATAACTTTAATCTCACGTAAATTATATATATATATATATATATATATATATATATATATATATTATTGAATAAAAAGTGTCAGATATGAAGTTAGTCTTTGCCATTTAACTTTTGAAGCCTTGCAAATTATCAATAGGTGCATGTTGGTTATGCATTTTACTCTTTCAAGTGACAAAGTATTAAAGATAGATGAGTCCCTCCTTTAATATTTCTACCAGAATGATTTAAGAAATTAAGATGCATATCACATTTGTATAATTAACGGTGTCTCAGTTCTCCTGTTTTGAGATTTGGACATATGTCGTTTCCTTCCTTGTATTTGGCTTAGGGGAAGGCCTTAGTATTTGGATAATTCTTCTGTAGTTTGGTTTGGGAGAGATCAGTAGATGGTCTTTGTTTTTCTTTCTTCTTCTTCTTCTTCCTTTATTTTTTTATTTTTTATATTTTTGTATATGTTTATATGATGTGTGCGCACAGGAGAGGTTGACTTGGATCTTGCTTGACCTGCGGACTTGTGGAAAAACGATTTAAAACGGGGCCTTCCCCGGTGTTGCATCAAGTAATTCAATAAGAGGCCTCAGCCTTGTTTCATGGATCGGGAGATGTGTTAGCTTCTCTCCTCGTTAGACGGTTAGGTTAGGCCAAGCAGGTGAACTGGGTGGACTACTTGCCTTTACTCGAGTCTCTGATTCGGTTAATGCATTTGAACCAATGATTGACAAAGGATTGACGAGCAGCTAGACAAGAAAGAGACGGAAGTGGTGCAGGTTTAGTTCCCACGCTTACTTAATGATGAAAGGAGAAAAAGAAAGTTCGACTTGCATGTTATGTACTCTGTATTAATTTCCTTTTATCTATTGAAAGAATAGGTAGAGTAGGAAGGAATTAATAGATTATTTAGATGTAAAGAACATATAAAATAAAATAGTGCCCCATGAGGAGGCACTAGGTACATAGGGAGTCATTTGATTAAAACTGTACATAAGGAGTTACAGACGCCAGTTGGTGAGGCTTGGGTGATAACCAAGTTTGAAAATTGGCTTCTCCCAGTGATGTCTGTCATTATGAGTTCTGTTTCATGGGCTGTAAGATCTAAGAAGATATTTTTCAAGAAGCTAAGCAAGATTTGCCTGATACAAACACGAGTGGTTTCATCATATGCACGAACAGCTACACTGAGGCATAAACCAGGAAGTGTCAAATTTCAACTGCCTAGCTGCAATCACTGTGAAAATATTCAATTTTGCGCAAGTTTCATGGGAGATCTTATCAATGAAGGAAGCCGTTGTAGGATATTAGATTTTCTTATTTGGTTTTAAGGATGTTCAAAAGATTTTAAATCTTATTAGTTTTGGAAAATGGCAATTTCATATGTACATGTGAGGGTATGGAGCCTATAATGGATATTGAAATTACTTGGGAAAGAATAGCTCCAATCTCCCACGTAAAACAATAAATATTATTAAAGAAAAAGTGTGAGCTATGAAGTTTAGTCTTTGCCTTTTAACTTTTGAAGCATTGGGAATTTGGAAATTATCAATAGGTGCATATTGTTTAAGATGTGTATCCCATTTGTATAATTGAGACATGTCCCAGTTCTCCTTTAATAGTATCTTTGGCAGTTAATTGCTAATTTGTATGTGTGTGTGTTTTGCCTTCCCCACCAGACACAAATTTAAGCTTGTGTTTTGAAAAACCTGATGCCTAGTTCACTAAATTCTTCTTATGTTACTAATCTATTTATTCATTTCAATGGTATATTATGCTTGCTTGGTTTTGACAACTAAGTAAACTTTTTTTTTCTTTTACATTCATAGCTAATCAAAACAACTCACACTGGTATCCTTTTTATTTCACAGCTTTTGCGACAGTTCCTTACAAGGGGATCTGGTTGTTTGGCTTCCTTGGACTCCTGACATTCCATCTTCTGTGTTGGTGATAGTGAAAATTTGCGCATCATACTACAGAAAATATAGTTTCCATGCTTTCTATGTACAGCAGCTGACAGTTTTGCTCTGGCATAGGATGGTAGAAGCTTTGGTGAAAAAAGTTATTGGGCGCTTTTGATACGAGCAATATATGTAATGTACATGAACTGGAGAAAGTTTCAGGTCAAAGCCGAAAGATGGCGGGCATCGCATGAAGACATGGGGTGTTCTTCCCAAAGGGAATAAACTCCTAGAGACGGTAACTGGTTAAGAACTGAATGCTCTCGTGCAGTATTCCAAGGAGAAACCATCCTATAATCGGCCCACAGAGCAAGCCTCGCTGAACTAAAGGGTCAGCACTTTTGAAATTTCAGTGCTAAAGATGGGATGACCTTGTGTTGCCTGTATGATTTTGCTGACCTTGTAAAGATGGGATGACCTTGTGTTGCCTGTATGATTTTGCTTTTTCAAGAGCTGGGATTTTTTATGAATGTCTGTTTGGCTTGAAACTTAGAAAGGAGTATGTAGAATAAAAGATATTTAGATTGAGAGAATGGTTTCCAGCCCCAGAAAAAATAAAATAAAAAATTGTGGGGTTAATATTTCAGAAAATATGTTTTTCTCTAGGTGCCATAAAACATGTCTATCTTCCCTCTTAGATTTCCTTTTTCCATTTTGGGCTCGGGTGCACACCAAACCTCCTCCCTCCATAATTAAAGCATCTCAGGATTCAAATATTGATAATTGTTTTCATCACTGTTTTCAAGTAGAATTCATGTGAGATCGAAAATGAAACGAAACCCTAGCCAATGCCTCCATAGGTCGCCAAACTGCTCGATATGCATGTGTTTGAATGGCGTGAGAGAGATGGAAAGGAAGGAACAAAATAGAAGTTTGACAAAGCAACGAGCCTTCCCAATATTGGAAGGGATAGTTTCTTCATTTAGGAAAAACAAAAGAATATGGATAGTTTATTAGCCAGCAAAAAAAAAAAAAAAAAACAATTGATCAATAATACAGATAATAACATCAGGCGTGGCACACAGTACTAATATTAAAAGTTACTTCAAGTGGGCATCCGAAAGCGACACAATGGACACAAGTTACTAATTCCGAGCCATCGAACAAGGCAATCACCGTGGAAATCATGCAAGCAAGGCATCCGGGTTGCCTCCGAACCAACCAAAAGCTGTTCCAAACATATGACACACTGCATCTTAGTATCTGCATTTTTGACTTTCACCTTCTCCAAGGCCTCAATAGATGCCTCGCTAGCCGGCACTCGCCTCGACTCCATTGGCACCATTGTGTCTGCGTCTTCATCTTCGTCTTCTGGACGGCCCACTACATCAATAGACACTACCATGGGTATTACCATTACGAGATTTTGTTTCACCAATAATTCGGCCGATGGAATGATACGAGAAATCATGAAAGGCCGAACACGTAAGGGGACACCTAGGTCACACAGCATATCTGAAATTGTGGACCATGTATTATGGTTGTTGCACGTTAATCGGTCACAAGGAACCCAAAATTGCATAGAACGGCACTCCGTCTCTAAGCAATCAATATCGTCGTCGTCCTCCCCCTCCGAATCATCATTGTCGTCCATGAAATCGGACGGAGGATATGTGAACCGTACCTGGAAGTCAACGTAGAATTGTGGGTATGGTTTTGGGTCGGCCATGGGAATGATTGAATTGGCCCCCAACCATGCAATGCACGAATCATCAAACGGTGTGTCGCACTCCATTCTTGAACAACGGTGATCGGGCAACCGAGGCCGGAGAAGATGATCGGACGGAGAAGATGAACTCGCCGTCCAAACAATCTGCGAGCAACCAGAATCGGAGAGCAAAACAGCAACCCAATTGCTTGAACGGGGTGAGTAGAGCAAGGACTACGATTACGCTTCTTGCACTGGATGGGGGGTTTTGGTTTATTTTTATCGGCGACAGTTTTTTTTTTTTTGGCATCTCTTCATTAGCTGTCCCTCCGTGTCATGGTGAGCTCTTCCACACCGTATCTTCTCCCATCATTATATTTGCATCCAGCGGTCAATGTTGCAGGTGCACTTTCTCCCCATGGACCGCGCTGCACCAGATCATCCTACACCATCCATCAACTCCACCCACGGCCCAGATCAGCGTGTGCACTTTTCTCCTACGTACATCCCCACACTGGATCCTCCTTCAATAATCAGGACCATCTGTGGTCCTGATTTGTGGCGCACCAAAGTTCTATGTACCGTGACGCACTAAATCAAAAAACCTAATTGAATGCGCCGATACACAGTGTAACAGTGTATATAAATAACCAGTATATATATATATATATATTCCAAAAATATGAATATAAATCAAATAAATTCTTAAAAATATATAAAAAAAATTCCAAAAAATTACAGAAAATTCAGAAAGTGTATAATTAGTAATTAGTAGTTTCATAAGACATCATTCTTGAAATATGGATTAAAATATAACAGCTGTTTTAGTAAAGGTCATCCAGATGGGTTGAGCAACACAGATTTTCATTGCCAAATTCTATGGTAAAAAAGTTGGTTTCAACAGAGATTCCACAGTCAAATTCTAAGGCGATGTGAACAAATATTTCACAACTCTTTAGAAGATAATTTGACCATAATTTAATTCCATGTACAAACATGATTAATGTAATAAAGGTCATTTGTTCTGCATCAAATTCGGATGGGAAAGTAATTGAATATAAATGGGTGAATAATTGGGTATGCAGCACTATTCAATAGTTTGAGTTTTTTTAATAAATTGACAAATACCTACTCGTTACAGTTGGTATTAGAGCCAAATTCAGTGTCACACCAAGCGTTCGGTCTGAAGGGTGTCCAAGTTCGCAACCTGAGTAGATAGGGTGGCCCGAGCCGCAACGAACAGCTTGGTATTTTGGATAAATGGGCGTAAAATATTTTCTGAAAATTATTTATTTATGTTTTTCAGTACTTGGTAGTCCCAAATTTAAAGAAAATCTTTTTAGGACAACCAAATTACAGAAAACACAAAAAATATTTTTAAAAAATGAATGAATAAGCTATTTTTATTAGGTTTTAATTCAAAACAATTTGGTCAAATATATTTTTGCATGCATCTAATAAATAATAGAATACTTTAAAACAATTTAAAATATACTATTATAAGTCAAAAATATTCTATTATTTATTATATGCATATAAAAATATATTTGACCAAACTTTGTTATATTTATTAATAAATAGACAGAAATTTTTGTAAACAATTTTTTAAAAAAAAAAAAAAAAATTTGATGGATTGAGACTTTCACTGGCGTTGATTAAAAAAAGGAAATTTTGGATAGCTTTACTTCTAAAAACAAGTAAAAGTAATAAGACAAATTATACTGATACTTCTTAGATTAGGTTGAATCTTACATAGATGGACATTTTAATAAGATTAGGTCAAATTTCACATAGATCGTAATACTTTTACATGAAAAATGACTATGCTACCCATTGGACTTGTTATTTGACTTAAAAAGAAGAAGAAGAAGAAAAAAAAAAAAAAAAGTGGTGTTTTAACTTTTAGGTACAAAATGGCATAATTACTTATATAACTCATTTTAAATGTCCTCGTTCCAAACAAAAATTAAGATAATATTTAAGAACTCTAGAAACCAAACAAAAATATATAAAAATTAAGATATTTAATGAAATTGTGTTCTTGCCTTAATTGTGTTTTCAAATATTACTTTCTGCACAAGTGTCAATTAAATGAATTTTCGGACTAATAATTTCAAGTTCTTTTACAAACAAAAACTGAATAAAAAAGGCCATTACATTTTACTTCAGCTAGGAGCTGCCATTTTGGGCATGGCCAATTGTTTGGGTCTTGATGAGCTTATTAGAAACTAGCGGTTGGAGCATGATTACCCCCCCCCCCCCCCCCCCCCCTCGATAAAAATATAAAAAGTGTCTCTCTTGAATTTTCTCTTTCCTTACTATATTTATTTTTATTTTTATTTTTTTTTCATGTCTTAAATCGTTTCCTAAATTCTTATATTTGATTTTTATAATTAATTTAATCTAAAAAATATAACACATTCTCTATATATATATATATATTCATAAACATTAATTTATAGGGATAATTACATTGACCTCCCTCAAGTTTCATCAACTTACATTAACCTCCCCTCTTATTTGTCAAATTACAATGACATTCCCTATTAGAGATGGCATTAACAGTTCTATCGAAATTACTTTTTAGCCCTTATTATATTTATATTTTATTTTATTATAAATACAATGAATTTGAAAAGACAAAAAACCCAAAGTGTTTCTTTACTCTCTTTCCCCTCTCTCTAACCTTTTGCAGACCCATTTTTGGGACAACAAGAGAGACCCATTTCTGTTTGAGAGAGGATGGTTGCGGGTCTGCAACAAGAGTGTCCAACTCTGCAATTGCCTCGTCAAAAGCTTGTTTAGCCAAATGGCAGGTCTGCATGTTCAACGAACAAAATAAATCATCAAGTATTATGACAGTATAGAGAGAAAGTGTTTATGTCTTCTCTCCTCTTATCGGATGAAACTCAAATTCGATGGCGTCATCATCGTCGGCGGCATTTGAGACCAGCAGGTTCTCCGATTCGAAATTAAAGAAAAGATTGGTGAACCTTAAAGAAAAAATCATAAGAAAAGAAAAGATTAATTTTCCTCCTCTCTATTTCTATGGTACTGTGGGAAGGAAAAAGGAGAAGTGAAGCACACAAATTCACTGCTGCGAGCTCTGATTCCGGCGAGAGAGTTGCCATCTCCGGTTTTCAGCAAGTAATGGGTTTGCATCTCTCGGGGTTGGCCACCGAATTGTGGAAGAGGATGATGGTGTTAGAGAAAGAATTTGGGGCTGTTGGTTGCAATCGTAAATTTTTTTGGGGATAATAATAATATTCTAATTCATTATAGTAAAAATGGACAGAGTATTAAGCCCAGTTATTTTAGTACATGCTATATTCTACTTTCAACACAATCATTATTCGAGTACTGAAATATATCTAATTAGAATGAAAATTCCACCACCAAACATTATAATGAAAGCCCAATATGCAAAGCTATGATTCCACCTTTTCAAGGAGTGTTCTGATTTCATTCCACCATCAAACATCATAACTAAAACAAAAGTTTGAATTTCAAGATTCATGGTAAGCCACAAAACTGTATTATGCTCAGTCGTAGACAGAGATCAGGGAAAGAGAATATGAGGGGAGATGAGAAATAATTATAGGGGTATTTTTGATATTTTAATTGCTTTATTTACATGGCTTGCAAGGGTAGAGGGTTAAAAACGAATATGGGTGACTATTTTAAAATATGAGTAAAAATGGGTGACTCATATTTAACCTATTTTTATAGAGGGTTAAATGGGTTGAATATGACTTACCCATTTTGACCCATATTTTACTTAATATAAAGAGACCCAATTTCACAATCTCTATTTGAGTCAAATTCACCTATTCTTTTCTAAAACTCTCTTACACGATTTCAAATTCTCTCTCTCCCACTATCTCTCTTTAAAATTCTCTCTCTAAGATTCTCTCTGCATTATGGACTCCTTGTGTATGTAATACTATGGTTCGAAAGAAACTTATGATTACATTAGTATTTCAGAATAGGACAACCCGATTTATTCATTTAATTATTTATTCCATAAAAAGCTTAATAGATGATTTCATATATATATATATATATAATATCTTACATTCATGCATGTCTAGTCACAAACTAAAATAATATAAATTTAAAGAATTTTCAAAATAAATTAAAAGATTTACAGCAATCCATACATATTTTTACGAGCTTTTATTTATCTAAAATAAAAAACTATAATAATGTTATATATATATATATCGTGTGGGGTCCATTATTTATGAAAATTTGGAAGAAATGGAATTAATAGCGTGACTCACAGTCAAGAGAATTTGGTACGCAGTCTTTGTAAATATGAGTTTGCTTTAGAATTTATACTGGGATTGAGTATGAAGGATTTGTTGTACAAAAGAGATAAAAGGATATAGCTATTACATAGTGTTTGTCAATAAAAAGGGTATAATGGAATTTACGTTATTTTTAAATGTTATAGTGACTTTAAATTTGATTTCTTAAATCTAATGTTTTCAAAAAAGAAAGATAAAAATTTATGTGTCGGCTTGGCATTCGATGATAAAGCCCACATGTATTAAAATGGAGAAATTATTTCAGGATCGCAGGACCATCAATTCCTACCAATAATCAACTGATATGTAAACCAAAAAAAAAATACTACACATAGATGATTGACCCGAAACTAATGATCCAAACCATGTAATAATTTATTGTTAAATGGAACCCTTATAACTCAATTGGAGCTCCTCCTTTTTATTTTTAGCATCTTTAAAAGGAATATGGGGGTGGCTCAATCCAAGGTGGCAAGACGTCATAATTTAATCTTTTAAAATTTTAGAACTCTCTATTTATGTACCAATCAAGCTCAATATATGCATTGATGTTAGTGCTGCAAATGAATTGAATTGTTCACGAACAGTTCGGACTCGACTCGTTAAGGGCTTGGATCAGGCTCATTCGTTAAATAAATGAGCCGAGTTAAAACTCGGGATCAATTTCTAAGTTCGTTTAGTAAACGAGCCACTCCCGAGCAATGCTAGGCTCGGCTCGTGTAAGCTTATTTATGTTCATGAACTGTAAATTCGTTATAGGGCTCAAATCGGGCTCATTCGTTAAACAAATGAGTCGAGCTCGAACTCAATTTCTAAGCACGCTTAGTAAACGAGCCGATCCTGAGCAATTCTGGACTCGGCTCGTGTAAGCTCATTTATGTTCATGAACTGTAGACTCGTTATAGGGCTCGTTTACATTTAATTTTATTTTTTAATGAAATTTTTTAATTTTTGAAAGTATAAGATAAATATACAATAATTTAGTACAAAACGAGTTGGCGAGCTAAAAAACGAGCTTGAACAAATTTTGACTATAAATTCAATTTATTTTCTTAAATGAGCCGAAACCGAACCGATCCCGAGCTTTTTAACACCATAACGAGCCCAAGCCCAGTTTTTTGAGCTTGTCACGAGCCCGAGCAGTCTAAGGCTCGGCTCAGTTAATTTGCTGCCTTACTTTTTTTTTTTTTTGGTTAAATGGTAAGCTTATGTATAAATATTGGAGAAGTGTACAAGAAGTCCCAATTATAGTAGGGACGAAAATAATGAAACAAAACAACCAGCAACACCCACACATAGGACAGTGAACAAAGCTTAATAGCAACAAAATACAAAGTGGATGCTCCATTTCACCATTGACACTCAAACATCTTAAACTCAATATCCATCCTTATGAGCGATACAACCCTTGACAGACAAGTGACAACAACATACGTACATTATATACCTCATGTTAGCAACCAGCTTTGAGCATGAGAGATAGAACACGCCCGCTGAAAAAGGCTATAGAGGTCTTGCTCTGTGGAAATGAGACTCAGATCTGAGCACCTTCTTAGGTTGATTGAAGCAAGTCTTGCTCATTATTTTTCATGCCCAGAGTACGAGTATTTGATAGTATTGCTCTTTAGGTATGCTCGTTCAACTTGGATTATTGGCTTCCAAATGGCCTTATTTCTTCTCAGCTTGGCCTTTCTGAAATGAAAATTCTTCAACTGATGTATCAGGTCAAAGTTGATAGCCTAATTTCCAATTCTCAGGCTAGTTTGGCGTGGTGGAATGAATTGGAATTAAGTGAGAATGGAGGTAGGAATGGAATGAGAAGAGAATGGAATGGTTATTCCTTTTGTTGAAAGGTGGAATAATTTTGATGGAATGATCATTCTCCAAGAACAGTGGGGAATGATGATTCCAACTTTAAATTAGTAACAAACACGAGAATGAAAAAAAAAAAACTATTCCATTCACTTTCTTTTATTTCATTCTACCACACCAAACTAGCCCTCAATGTGCAGTACCAAGCTTCTTATAACATATTCAATATAAATAGGGAAAAAAAAGTACAGGCCCAAAAGGGCAGCAGCCCAAAGGCAAGGAATACAAAGCTGGTGCAAGAAACCCATTACACCCAGCCCAAGAACAAGTTTAAATGTTCAACAAAGAACCCTTAAGGGTCTCCCTTCAATCCGGTGAACATGGAGAACTCTCCCCAGCACGAAGTCTCCCAGCTGGTGAGGAGTTGGGGTTGAAAAAGAATTGCATTCTACTTGAGTTAAAAAAAAAATTATACTTTTGAGTTGTGAAGCTTGGTTTTTTTTTTTTTTTTTTTTTTTTTTTAATGTACAAAAAGTATATCAATTCATTGAAAACAAAAACAGGAAGTGCAATTCGAAATGGCCAATTCTTGAGAAACAAAGAAATATGCCAAAAATAAAATAAAAAATTGTGCCCATAAAATACAATGAATTTGAACCGATGATGCTGACCAAGTAAGAAGTGCAGATTTTACTTTCCAATGTAGATTCCACATTGCTGGATCAAGGGGTGAGATTTTGATCATTTTCAAAAAGTTTTAAAACATTTTTACTTAATTTAATTAGTTTACGAAAAGAAAGAAACTTAGTTGCTAGCTTCTAATTAATGGAAGCTGATATAATATATATGTATAATGGAAGTAATTACGAACTGCATTAATTAATTAATTAGCACAGCACTGGATCGGGTATAGTAAAGTATAGTATAGTAATAATATATCCCATTATTTGAACAATCAATTCCTTGTCTTATGACCTAGTCATTCATTCATTGTTGCTTCTAAGGAAGCAATTAATTTACACTGAAAGCTTTATAATAATTTCCCATAAATAATATGTATAATCCATCTCTCTATATGTGTGTGAACTAGCTTGTTAAAAAAGTACTGTGGAAATAAAAAATAATAATAATAAAATAAAATAAAATACTTTGAATAGGTACGTAAGGGATTAAATGTTACCTCCATGAACCCCATCTCTTCTTTGGCTTAATTCTAACGTCTTTCGAAATACTTTTAAAAAAAAAAAAAAAATCAAAACATTTTTTTTTTCCTGATAAATATCAAAACTTGTCTGTCTTTGCATTAATCAAATAAATAACCAATAAAATAAGAAAATTAAATGATCAAAACACAAAAATAGTAATTAATAAACATACCCATCTTTCCAAATAAGTCAATTGAAAAGCTAATAAATATTAAATAATAATAATTAAAAAAAATCTGAATCAATTAATTAAGGAATTGATTAATTAGCGGAATTTTTAAGTTTTACATGTCAAATTCACTTGAGGTATGATGTGATAAATTACAATATTTATTAATTTGCTAATATTTATCGAACTCATCTCATGCAAGTGGATTTACCTATTACAATAATAATAGAAACAATTCATTTGACATCTCTAAAAGTTGTAAGTCAAATTTGAGACACTTGATCATATGAATTATTAAGTTTTACAGGGGATCCTATTTCACCAATGC